GTAAACACGCGTCGGGTGCGCCTACGTATGAAAACGACGAACGCGCTACACATGTTGGGTATCGCCGCGCACGCCGGAGTGAGAGCAATAATTCTAGGGCCAGTATTTTGGGGTATCTCTAAATTGATGACCTGTGGGGGCTTTTAAAGCGTCTTCTATTGACTTTTTGGGGTACTGCAGTTTTTCGCCGTTTCACGGACGCACGCAATTTGTAACCTATGCATGTTGGGTATCGTTTTACTCGTAACCTCATCTTTTATACGTCATTTAAAAAATTGGTATTTTGTTGTGTTTTGGGGCATTACATTTTTCACTAAATGTTGGGGTTTAATAAGGAGTTGCGCTAATATTGCGCAACATAAAAATTTGCAACTACCACCATTTTATTCTATAGGGTCTTGGCATTCAGAAAATATATAATGTTGGGGGGGTTTTACGTCATGAAAAAAGGGCCTCAGTCATGAAGGGGTTAAAAGAATGCAAGAAATTTAGGAATAGACGAGCTGCAAAGTAAGTGACCTGCTGCAATATGATAAGCCAGCCAGAAATGTTGGTTTTGGCACTGGAGGGTACCGTCTGGGGGGGGGGATGGGGGAGTAATGAAAATTGGGGTTTATTTCAACAGTGGTCAGACATTGCACACTTCATTTGTGTTCATTTATTTTTTTTTAGCTTTAAAAATTGAACATAATAGGACTTGGCAAAGTCGATATTAATTTCACGTATGTGTGCAATGTGTACATATTAATTTTCAACATTGCGCAAATTGTCCTAATAAAACAAAATAATTTTAACAAAAAACATATTTAGCAGTGCCAAGAAGCGCTTCTAATTGGTCAGTGCCGTCAAGTGACTGTGCTAACCAATGAGTGCTTGCAATTTGCAAGCAAAAGTCCGAATACATGGCACAGGAACAGATAGTACACCTGCACTGTAGGACAGGAAGGACCGTTCGCCGAAAGGCAAGTAAAGCAGGGAGGGAGAGGGGGCAAATTTGGCCGGCTAATTCAATTTTCCCAAATTACTTGGGAAAGTGAATTTACCCTTTGGGGCTGGTGCAGATTTGGGTGATCGTGTGCAGTTGCATACAGCGGTTCCCACGTGGCCCCATTGATTTCAATGGGGTTACATCCGCATGGCAATTGCTGAAAAAAGGTACATTTCTTTTATTGCAACATGCACCTTATTGCTGTTTAAAACCGCGATCATGCGCGATGGCACGGCAGGAAACCGTACAATCTGCCTGGCGCGAGTGGGGTGCCATGAGAAAATGGCATTGCCAGCGCGATCGGCGGTGGTGTGTGATTCCGTGATTGACCAGCCATCAGCGCAATTTTGTGCATGATTACCTCACGGTCACAGATCGTCCAGGTGTGAACCTGGCCTTAATGCACATTGTGTGTTAGAGCGCTGCTGCCCGGCCACCACAGTATGGCACACAGTGGAATGGGGCACCACTCCGCTCACACAATGCCCTAAGCATGTGTTTTTTATTCGCATGCAAATAGTGGGGGCAGCAGGGTTGGTTTTAATTTTTGAATTTGTTATAAATAAATTCAAAAATAAATTCAAAAATACATTACATTTTTTTATTTAATTTTTAATCCCCAGCTGATTGGCTGGGAAGTCTGCTTTGCAGCTAATGAGCAAGGAGCTGGCTTCCCGACCAATCAGGAAACGGGTCATTACTCGCCTCCCAGACTGCACAAGAAGCTGGCTCCATGTTCCCCTACGGAACTGCGGGTCAGAGGAAGTCCTTAGTAGGAGAGGAAATCAGAAGGGGGTGTAGTTTGAGGGAGGGAACGGGAGTTATTTTTAAAGTAAAACCATTGCT